CTAAATTATCTTTTAAAGTCAAGTCGCGTGATCAGTATGAAATGAATCATATCGGAACCGTACGAATTTACAAAATAGTCGGTATGACACAATTCAAAAATTTTGCGAAACCATCGACCTGAAATATCGTTTACCATTAATAATTTATTCCCGGCATTATAAATTTGACTCGAGATTTTGACTATTTATAATTCTAAAATCTTTAATTCTGACCGAAATAATTTTTATTACTTTGCTCATCAAATTACCGATCTTAATAGGGTTCTGCAATATACATGTATGTACATATTTAATGCTTATACGTATCTCAGAGTATATGTATGATACGATTTTGCAGATTAGTACCTAAAAAAGTTATGAAATTAATCAGTTTAATTACATCAAATAATCATAATTTTTTAAATCTAAAATATAATTCGCTTTGCGATATTCAACATTTGGTCAGTCGGCTATTTATGAGACGTACTTTACTAATTCTTTAATTCATACTTTACTGTAACGGTAGTATATATAGAGATCTTATCATAATAGAAACGTGAACGATTCGTACCGTACAGATTTCCATTTACTTATTTGCATATTCCAAAATGGTTATATGGAAAACGGTACGGTACAAATCGGTAAATTTCGAATCGAACCGTACCGGTAGTATACATCTTTTGTTATTAGTCACGTTAATAATCGCAAAGCTTTTTATTTCAAAATTAAACAATCATTTTTTATTGAAGAACAAGTATGTTGCGCCTCAATTTACTTTGACGCACTGTATTTCTCAATTTACAATTTGGCCATTTGAAATTTTAAGTTGGAGGCAGATCCTTAACTTTTGAACTGGTTAGTAAAACCAGAGATAAAAAACAACCCATCTATTACTAACAAAAAGCTACCCAAAACAGATGTAGAATGGTTCGATTTAATGGAAAAATCATCTAGTAAAAAACAAAAGAAGCCAAAAGAAGTTGTTCCTAGCATAGTTGAGCAACGAGACGCTCACATTCAAACTTCTAAACCCCCACCGCATATTAAAAATGCAGGACGTATTATTGGAAATTTGCAAGGCTATAAATTTATTAGCGATGAAGATGTAACAAGTGGGATCAGGAGCAACATGAACCTAGAGAAATAAGACTTCCAACATTAACCGAGTTAGAGATACAATTAGGAATAAAGAATAAAGTATCCAGAGAAGAAACCCAAATTCCTGAAACTTTTATTCGAGTAGAAGATCTCATCTTTGAAGAATGTTTAGTTGGAAGAGATCTAGAAAGACCACATAAAAATCGATCTTTAATGAGCAAATGGTTAGGAAAAGTTCCTCATCCTAAAAATAACACTAAATATGCTTTTATGCAAACAATAGATAATCCTAAACAATATAAAAAAATTTCATACATGTCCCAACTTATAGGATTAATTAGACTGAAAATAACAGAAGTTCTTCAAATAGAGTTTTGTAGAAAAGACCAAATAAATCAGCTATAGTAGCATTATGTTTGTATTCAATCATTAAAAACTCAGATGGTATAAGTAATATATCATATGAATACAATCATGAAAGAGGGAAGATGCAATATTTACTTTTAACAAATGATATAGATGAGCATATAACCAAATCTGCTGGAGAAATAAATAATCAGATTGAGGAAAAATTAAAAAAGAGATCTGGATATGTTCTCAAACAAATTCTTGAAATAACTATTGAGATATATAAATGTAAATGAGTAACAAGAGGATCTTATATTCATACTCCAAAGAAACTAGCTAATACAAAGTGTACTATCAATCCTGATAATTATGTTCTCATTGATCTAGAAACGAAATAACCTTCTGAAAAATGTCTTCAAGATGCTTTAGGTTGCTATTTTGTAGATCAGGATGAGCATACAGATCATCTTGAAAGAATCTTTCGTGCTACTAAATATAAACTATATTTAGATATAGTCAAGCTAGATGGAATCCCAATGCCCACTCCCATCTGCTCACGTATATTTAATAAGATTGAGG